CCACAACGCCCGGCTATTTTTTGGTTGCAGCCATCATTGTTGCTTGGTGGGCCTGGGCTGGATTTGAACCCGCCACCCTGGGTGTATGTGGCTGGCGCCTTAGCCACCTGAGCCACAGGCGCCGAGCCTATTGTCAACAGTTTTAACTTGATCAAATCATCTCTTTCCTTCCCTACTAGTTAAGATTACTCAGCTCTGTTAATCCCTGTCAGAGAAAGAAAAAAAAATTAGTGCCTTAGGGTGAAAAGAGTAGAGATAAGAGTAAAGAAACCTACATTTTCCTCATCCCATTGACTGGTTGAAGAAACTACTTAACCCATATATATCTCAGCCTTTTCACATTCAAACAGGAAAAGTTATACCTTTTGTGTTAAGCAGGTATAACAATAAAATGCCTTGATAGGAAAACTTTTGAGTGCTAGGAAATTTTTATATGTAAAATTGACACACAATAAGGTACATGTATTTAAAGTATATACACTCATAACATTTAGCATGCATGTATACACACCTATGAAAGCATCACCCAATCAAGATAGTTAGATTAATTTTTAGGAAATTGGATACAACAAATACAATTGGGTACATAAAACTGAATTAGAATACATGCTTTATTCACTGGTAAAGGTTTTACTGAACTAGTCCTAGTAAAAGAAACAAAACCAAGCAAATCCCAACAACTCAGGAGCCCGAGGCAGGAGGATTGCTTGAGGCCAGGAGCTCAAGACTAACCTGTGCAACATAGCTAGATCCTGTCTCTAAAAATAATGAAAAAAATTAGCCAAGTATGGTGGCACATGCTTTAGTCTTAGCTATGTGGGAGGCTGAGAGGGAAGACTCACTTGAGCCCAGGAGTTTGAGGCTCCATTGACCTATTGTGCCACTGGGTTCTAGCCTGGGCAACAAAGCAACACCCTGTCTCCTAAAAAAACAAAACAATAAAAACTGTAACTAAAATTTGGGCCGGCCGTGGCGGGTTATACCTATAATCCCAGCACTCTGGGAGGCCAAGGTGGATGGATCACCTGTAGTCCAGGCTAAAAATTAGCTGGGCATCATGGCAGGTGCCTATAGTCCAGCTACTTCAGAGGCTGAGGCAGGAGGATCACTTGAGCCCAAGAGTTAGAGGTTGCTGTGACCTAGGCTGATGCCATGGCACTCTAACCCTGATGACAGAGGGAGACTCTGTCTCAAAAACAAAAGCAATGGAAAAAAGTAACTAAAATTTGAACCTGAACAAAAAGAAAATAATCTAGCCAGGTGCGATGGCTCATGCTTGTAATCCTAGCTCTCTGGGAGGCTGAGTGAGAGGATCACTTGAGCTCAGGAGTTAGAGACCAGCCTGAGCAAAGGAAGATCCTACTATCTCTACTGAAAATAGAAAAATTGGCTAGGCATTGTGGTAGGAACCTGTAGTCCCAGCTACTCAGGAGGCTGAAGTAGAAAAATCACTTGAACCCAGAAATTCAGTTTCTGTGAGGTAGGCTAGAGCCATAGTATTCTAGCCCCAGTAACAGAGTAATAGTCTGTCTCAAAAACAAAAAAAGAAAGTTTCAGTAGACAAGATCTTTTGATAGCACTGAGTACCGTACCAGTTATTAATATTTATGGGGAAGTAAATATCACATGTGACCACTGAGTACTGTCAGCTGACAAATTGATGGTAAGTTGAGGAGTTATGGTCTTTCTATAGTTTTTTCCAGGTCATGAATCTCGGGCTACAGAAGCTCTGTGTTGGGCAGCAGGACAGCGACTCTTCAGTGCTGGACTCAATGGAGAGATTATAGAGTATGACTTACAGGCACTGAACATCAAGTATGCTGTGGATGCCTTTGGAGGACCTATTTGGAGCATGACTGCCAGCCCCAGTGGCTCTCAACTTTTGGTCAGTAAGCAACCATTGGTAATTTATACTGAGATTCTTCTTCTGCCCATTCAGACTTCCTTCTCTGTGTTCATAGGAGAATAAGGTTGTATTATGACATATAAAAATCCCAACTACAAGACTGGAATTGATATTGAAGATTTAAAAATTCCTTATCCTCTTGTATCCTTTTTGCTGCTAGTTTGCACCTTGTTTATTCATTTAGGAAATGAAGGGGATGGTTCAGTTCAGCATTTCCCAAACTATGTTCTTTGGAATTGGGGGATGTAGAGACTGATTGTGTTTGGCATGCTTTGTGTTCTATGCTAAATTTCATTTCAGAAATACAGCATACTGAACTCTTCTGTAGATTCATAATGCGCATTAGTATATTAAAACTGTTCCAGGCTGGGCACAAGAGCTCATGTCTCTAATCTAAGCCCTCTGAGAGGCCAAGGTGGGAGGATCCCATGAACACAGGAGTTCAAGACCAGGCATGGTAGCTCATGCCTATAATCCTACCACTCTGGGAGGTTGGGGTTTGCAGATTGCCTGAGCTCAGGAGTTAAATACCAGCCTAAGCAAGACTAAGACTTCATGTCTCTAAAAATAGCCAGGTGTTGTGGTGGGCACCTGTAGTCCCAGCTGTTCAGGAGTCTGAGGCAAGAAAATTGCTTGAGCCCAGGAATTTGATGTTGCTATGAGCTATAATGCCACAGCGCTCTACCAAGGGTGACAAAGTGAGACTCTGTCTCAAAAAAAATAAATTCCCCCCCAAAAAGTAGTTCAAGACCAACAAGAGCAAAACCCCATCTCTACTAAAAATAGAAAAATTAGCTGGGTTTGGTAGAGTGTGCCTGTAGTCCCAGCTACTGTGGAGGCTGAGGCAGGAGGATCCCTTGAGCCAAGGAGTTTCAGGTTGCTGTGAGCTAGGCTGAGACCATGGCATTCTAGCTGAGGTGACAGAACAAGACTGTCTCAAAACAAAACAGAAACCTTTCACAAGAGTATTTCTCAAAAAATTATTTGAGCACAGACTGAAACTTTTTCACCTACAATTCCCATTAGCTTGTTTGCTGTCAGAAATTTATTTTATTTTATTTTATTTTGGAGCCAGAGCCTCAAGCTGTCACTCTGGGTAGAGTGCCGTGGCATCACAGCTCACAGCAACCTCCAACTCCTGGGCTCAAGTGATTATCCTGCCTCAGCTTCCCAAGTAGTTGATCCTATAGGCACCCACCATGCCTGGCTATTTTTTTTTTTTTTTGGTTGCAGCCATCATTGTTGTTTGGTGGGCCTGGGCTGGATTCAAACCCGCCAGCCTCAGGTGTATGTGGCTGGCACCTTACCATCTTAAGCCACAGGCACAGAGCCTTTATTTTTTTTTTGAGACAGAGCCTCAAGGTGTGCCCCCGGGTAGAGTGCCTTGGCATCACAGCTCACAGCAACCTCAACTTGGACTGAAACGATTCTCTTGCCTCAGTCCCCCAAGTATCTGGGACTATAGGCGCCCGCCACAACACCCAGCTATTTTGTTGTGATCGTCGTCTTAGTAGTTGTCATTGTTTAGCAGGCCCAGGCCAGGTTCCAACCGACCAGCCCCCGTGCATGTGGCTGTTGCTCTGACCACTGAGCTGTGGGCGCCAATCCAAGACTTAATTTTTTTTGATGTGTCTATGATTCCTTTTAAATTTGCACTAATTTGTATAATATCTTAAGATACCTCCATTTAGGTTATGAGGTTAATAGGGCTATTATTTAGGACATATCTAGCAGAGGTATGCTGTGACATCCTGTTTCTATTTTATGTCATATGCAGGAATTGGGCCACTAATTGGAACTGTAAATATCTGCCTATTTTCTGGCTGGGACATGAAGGCTGCCAAGAATATACTATCAGTGTGTTAATACTAGTACTTTTCTTCTCTCACAAACTGTTTCCTCTTTTCAGAGCAAGTAGTATCTTTAAGGGCGAAATGTATTTTTTGGTTTGTGTGTGTGTAGTCCTACCAGTCTTATAAAATGTTTATTGTTTATCTTCTGTGTTTTCTATTTCTTTTTCCCTAATAGGTTGGCTGTGAAGATGGATCTGTGAAACTCTTTCAAATCACTCCAGACAAAATCCAGTTTGAAAGAAATTTTGATAGGCAGAAAAGTAAGAGTTATTTTTGGTGGGCCAGTATTTAACAAGTTGTATTTCTGTGCCTCTGGGGATGGGATATTTTCCCATGGGTCCAGGTAATATTTTATCTCTATGCTAATTTTATCTAAATATAGGATATGCACTAGAAGCCATGCCCAGCCCAGGTTTTACCCATTGTATATCATGTTTGTGACTGCCTGGTTAGGTAATAATGTAGAAAAGCAAAAATCCAAAAAAGGAAAGCAAGGTAGTGTTTGTGTGGAAAACAATTTGTAAGCTATCACTTATTTTTGTGAATTTTTAACAAGCATACATAAAATATGAAATAAAATTTCATCATTAGAACTATGGTTCTTAATCCCCTGAAACATTCAGATTGAATAGGGGAAGCCTTATAAACAATTGCCCATACTTGGGCTTTACATGGATTGAAGTGGCACCAACCCTCTTCTCTACAGGACCAGGTAGTAACTGGCTTTGCAGGCCATGCGACTGTAATGCAAGAGCAACCATAGATAATACTTAAATTAATAGGCAGGGCTGTGTTCAATGAAACTATCTACAAAAATACACAGCACAGGCGGTGCTCTTAGCTCAGTGGATAGGGTACCAGACACATACACCGAGGCTGGTGGGTTTGAACCCATCCCAGGCCAGCTAAAACAACAATGACAACTGCAACAACAAAAAACAGCCACGTGTTGTGTCAGGCCCCTGTAGTCCCATTTACTTGGGAGGCTGAAGCAAGAGAATCACTTAAGCCCGAGAGTTTGAGGTTGCTTATATACTGGGCCTGATTTGGCCTGTGGGCCAGTTTTCTGACGTCACTTCTGGAGATGGTAACTCCCCTGTGTATTCTCTGTGTCCATTACTAACATTTATCCTTTGTTAGATTGTTTTTAATATGTTTTGAGTATTCTTTTTTAGTTACAGAAGTGATACAATGCTTTTAAAATTTTATACAGGATGAAAACATAAATATCTCATCATATTCCGTCATTAATATTTTGGAACTAATCTAGACTTTTTTTTCTTTTTTGAGACAAAGTCTCTATCACCCTGGGTAGAATGCCACGGCATCATCATAGTTTACAGCAAGTTCAAACTCTTGGGCTTGAGCAGTCCTCTTGCCTTAGCCTCCTAAATAGCTGGGAGTACAGGCACCTGCCACCATGCCTGGCTAGTTTTTCTGTTTTTAGTAGAGATAGGATCTTGCTCTTGCTCAGGCTGGTCTCAAATTCCTGAGCTCAAGTAGTCCACCTGCCTCAGCCTCCCAAATTGCTAGCATTATGGGTGTGAGCCACCGCACCCAGGTCTTTTAGGCATTTTTATATATCCATAAAAACAAGTACACAGGAATTCTTACACGTTGTTTTTCAGCTTGTTTCTTCACTTGATCCATTCTAGGCGCCTTTCTGTGTCATGCCAGTCTGCATGGCATTCCATTTCCACAACTGACTTAACCATTTTCCTGTTGATTTTAGTTTTGATTTTACTACTATAACCAGTGCTACAATAAATAATTGTATATGCATATTTGGGGGCACTTAGGCAAGTATTTCTCCTTGACCAATTCTCAGTGCAATTAATGGGCCAAAATATATGTATATTTAACATTGGTTAGATTACTATCAGGTTACTCTCAAAAGGTTGTATTTATTTATATTCCCTTCAACTATTTGTACGTTATAAAAATAAATATCAAATGCTTCTTTGTGAATGTCAGTGTAAAATTGGTCATTTGTTAAAAAACTTCGTGTCACAGTTGTCAGTAGGTAAGAGGGCTAGGACTGTAGAACACAAGCTCTTTAGATAATTGGAGGGAGGATAGTTCAGTTCCCCTTTGCTATATATTTATGTGTATGTCATTTTCTTTTTTTGTTGTACAACTCCCCAGGTCGCATCCTGAGTCTCAGCTGGCATCCCTCTGGTACCCACATTGCAGCTGGCTCCATAGACTACATTACTGTGTTTGATGTCAAATCAGGTGACTGTTTTTATCAGTTCATTTGGGGTGTGGGTCTTGTTTGTCAGATTCACATTGTGGGTTGTTAAAAGCTTGAGACCTTGTTATGCTTTTTAACCTTCTAAGGTATCTATGGTGAATTTCACTTCTTTCTTAGTTTGCTACTGCTGCTGAAAGGAATCTTTTTTTTTTTTTTTTTTTTGAGACAGAGTCTCACTGTGTTACCCTCAGTAGAATGCAATGGCATCACAGCTCACAGCAA